TGGGCTCCCTCTCTGTGGCTAGACTGGGTGAGTTACAGCTCTATCTAGAACTGAGATAAATAAGAAGGGCCAGAAGCCGACGCTCTTTGCTGCCACTGAGAAAGCGGGGTTTCTCATCCTTGCCTTTCTCTTTTTCATTTGCAACATCATCCCACTTGTTCCTTTCCTCAGGCAGTTTTCCTTTGAGGGGTATTGATTCTTAATGTCCTCGCTCTTCCTGTCTCCAAGCTGTTTCCTCTGGTCAGTACTGACACATCCTACAATAGGTTTCCTAGGAACTTCGGGCACTACTCGGTGTATCCTCCCTTACAGTCAGTAATTAGGATTCTTGCAGTAACGTGTGTCATCGGAGCATATGCTATTATGGGGAGTTTGCTGCAGTATATCTTTAGCCAGTGGAAGGGCACAGAGTAAGGACTTGAAAGTGGGACAGGGGTTTTTTTTATAGAGATTGACCTAAATAATAAATGATCTAAGATGATGATAATGGTTGGACAATAATAATTTCAAACAAGCCTATCCACCAGTTTATAACACATTAGTCCTGAAGTGAAAGCTAGGGGAATCCTTCTGTGACATTTAGAGACTTGAGCTACTAAAGGGAAAATATTTAATGCTTGAAAACGAGACTCAGCAAGATGGTTCAGCAGGTATAGTCGCCTGCCACTAAGCTCGATGTCTTGATTTTGTTCCCCAGGACCCACAGAGTAGAATAAGAGAACTAGTTCTATTAGCTTGTCCTCTGATCTCCATACAAAGGCTGTGGCTCACCTGCACACAACATGTACACAAATAAAAATGTAATAAACATTAAAAGGAGAAACATGTTTACAAAATAGCTTAAGATGTCATATGAAATTTAAAGGAAAGGAAGAAAGAAAATGCGGGTTTCTATTTGAGATTAAAGGCCTTGGGAGAGCCAGATCTCTGAGTGTTGATGAGCGGATGCACATAGAAAGGCTCTGTTTTGATCAGCCCTTTGCTTGCTCATGTGAGTTTCTGTCCCAGCGATACAGGCAGATGTGAACCGCTTCCTGGTACTTTGCTCATACACCTTGCTTTTCTGAATGACCTTCTGCAAAGAGGTAATAGTCTCCACAATGAGAGCCCACACAGAACACAGAGACAGGGTGGAAAAGCCACCCCTGAAGTGTGGGGTCTGCCAGACAGTTTTTCTTTGAGGTCTTAGCTACATTGTTGGAAATGTCACTCCAGTAGGAGAATGGTTTCTGCCAGCCATGCGGAGAAAAGGGTAACATGGGAGGGGTATGTTTTCCTTCCAGACCTCCTGAATTGCTCTTGAAAGAAGAGCATGAATAATGTAAATTTGAAAATATTGTGTAAAAGCAATTAATTTATTTTGGGGGTTATACTGGGGACCAAACCCAGGGCCTTGCACATCCTGGGTAAGTACACCCCTCTAAATTGCCCCCCATCCCTTGCTTATTTTTTTTTTTTAAGATAGGATTTTACTGTGAACTTGTTAGGTAGCCCGGCTGGCCTTAAAGTCAAGATCGTCTGCCTTCACCTTGTCCATGCCTAGCCAAAGTAATAGTTTTGATGATATGTGTCTTTAAAGATGTAAATGTAGAGACTGCAAGAAGAAGTTAAAAGTATCCCTCAGTCAGGCAGCAGCCATCAACTGAGCCCCTTCTGTGTTTGAGTTATGGAACTTTCCATAGGAAAACGTAACCTACGTATTTACTTTATTCATTTTACATGAAATGTTAGTTAGAATTCTACTTCTTATGTCCAAGGTTGTTGGAAGTAGACTGTATAGAATACAGTTAATGGCTCCCCCCAGTACACTCTCTGGCTGAGCTCTAATCTCTGCACAGAAAACCCCTTGCACCTAATGACTCACCTCTGAATACACAGCACATTTCTGTGATCCGAGAATCAGATAACCCTGATTAGTGGACCGGAACTGAAAGGGAGAGTCACCACAACTTCCGTGAATCTCTTAGAAAGTAAAGCAATTGCTGCCTTAATGGGTGAGTTTCACAATGGTCGCTTCAGCTCCTGGATGGCCTGGCTCAGGCTGCTCAAGGAGCCTGGTGAAGCTGAGACACCTGATTAGGATTATGTGAACTATTCCCATCCTTGGCATTTGACAGCTTTTCAGTCTCTAAAACAGGTGACTAGAAAAAAGAAGCTAGGTGTGATGTTCCTACCTACACTCTCACACCAGGGGTGCTAAGGCAGGAGAGTTACCACAAGTTGGAGGCCACTCTGTGCTACCAGCTGAGGTCCAAGCCAGCCCAGACACACGTGTATAATATGCACATCTGTCTTTTTATATACAAAGGCTTTCTCCTTTAAGTCACTCTGCTATTGTGTCTTCTTTCTAAAACTGTCTGTTTTTCCTTAGTGCTCCTACGTTGGCAACCTGACATTAATGTCTCTTTATTATGTCCTTCAAACACTATAATTTAATTCAAAATCATGCTTGTGAAAGATATTTAACATTAAAGCCTTTCAGGTACAAGTTAAAACTCAAGTAGTAAATTTTTCCTTTTTTTTTTTTTTTTTTTTTTTTTAGTAAGTCTTAAAAATTTATTTCAGCCAGGTAAGGTCTATTGCTATAATCCTAGCATGCAGGAGGCCAAGGAGAAGGATATGTGACCAGCGTGGGCCACATATCAGGACTGTCTTTCAAAGAAAAAAAAAAGATTTTGTTTTGTACTTGATGTTTTTTCATTTTTTCTTCCTTTTTATTTTTCTTCTTCCCTCCCCCCCCAAGACAGTTTTTTTTTTTTTTTTGTACAGTCTTGTCCTGGAACTAGTTCTATAGATCAGGCTGGCCTCGAACTCACAGAGATCTGCCTGCCTTTGCCTCCTGAGTGCTGGGATTAAAGGCGTGCGCCACCTCTGCCTGGATGTTTTTACTTTTTCATTTAGTACTGACCTCAGTGGTGAATGTCTGTATTCCCTGCACTCAGAAGCCTGAGGCAGGAGGATCATGGGTTGAAAATCATCCTTGGCTACTTTGAGTCATGAAACACTGTCTCTAAATAAAACAAAACTACATTTGGTTTAGTGTCCTGCTCAGTCTTTCTGGTCCTTGGCCCTAGGGTATGGGAACCCATCTTTCTCCTGATTTCTTTGCTTGGTTTTGCATGGGCTGCCTCTCCTGGTGATGGAGACAAAGTATGGTCATGACATAACTCTGTAAGAGAAGCTCCCGAGGAGACCATCCACTGTAAATCACTTTCTCTCTTGTTCATCCAGGAAAAGGTACCTTTTCTTAGAGACATGAGACGCACTTAGTTTCATAGTTTTATCACTTTCTCAATTCACTTATTTTTCGTATATATAGACGAGTATAGAAAGATGACTATAGTATTATAGCATTCATATAAAAACCAAGGGACACCAGTCCATTAAACCTGGCCTTGGAATTGGTGTTCAGCTATGCAGTGGCACCATATACATTGGTATCCATTGCTGATCTCCAGAGTCAATGTTCAAGTAGGAGAAGTTTGAAAGTAGTAACTTGAGGTACCTTCATATGTTAGCCACCCATAAAGTAGCTGCAGTCAACCCCAAAACGATCTCCCTCTTTCTTTATGTAGAGTAATAGAGATTGTTATAGCTACAGTGCGTCTTCTCCATCTTTCTCATGCTGGTTCGTCCCCATAGTCTGCGCTCTGAGGCCTACAGGGCATGTCTGTCATGGGCCATAGCAACCCATATCGAGTTCTCTAACCCATCTCCCAAACTGAAGTTTAGGCTTTACTTTTTTGCATGATTCTGGAGACATCATTGAGAAGAGCAGGCGAAAGAAACCAAAGCTATAATGTAGTTCTGTTTTATTTAGAGACAGTGTTTCATGACTCAAAGTAGCCAAGGATGATTTTCAACCCATGATCCTCCTGCCTCAGGCTCCTGAGTGCAGGGAATGCAGACATTCACCACAGAGGTCAGTACTAAATGAAACCAAAGTTTTCAAGAAGTTGCTTGGCTGTCTACAGAGTGACAGAGTGTGAAATCGAAAAACCTCAACACAGCCAGTAACCAACCCACCGTCCAGGTAGTGACTTCCATCTGCAAATGGAAATTGCCATCTAATTGCCCTTTGAGGCTGCTAGGAGCTAACCTGTGGCTAGTAACTTGTGTCCCCATAAGTATGCACATATGCCGTGTTTATCCTCTCCATAACTCGTAGTACTTTGATGCAGTCAGAGAAATTACTGTATGTTTTGTTTATTTGTTATAGTCGGAGTCTTCTATTTTCCAAAAATCTCAGCTGAGTTGCTGTGGGGAAGTGGCCGCCAGAGGTCCTTGTAGACATCCCTCAGCCACAGTGGGGCTGAAGGGTTAAAGGGGTTTCTGGTCTTCTGTAAATAAAAGCTTCTTAGTGAAGGCATTATCACCACTACCCAAAGCAGCAAAAACAGCAACTAGCTTATTAATTCTCTGAAGTACAATTTACAAAGTTTTGGATGCAAGCCGTCTTTGGATTGAGGACAGCCCTAGCAAAGCAAATCACACAGGGGACGAATGGGGAAATGGGTGGGGGGAGCAGGGCTAACTTGTAGGACAGACACTGAGCCCTCTCTCCCTTGGGGCGCAGCCTCCAGCAGTGTCGTAGGGCCTTTCACCAACTTCTCTGGATGTCAGTGATCAGTCATTCTTGAACACTCCGTGGTGCAGAAGAAGACCCTGTTCTCCAGGCATGGTGTCTGCAGTGACCGTCTCTCAATCAGGGTGCCCTGCTTTGCTCAGGAGCCGGACGCACTGCAGAAGGGCCCTGGTGGAATCTGGTGGCTGCAGCCAGGCGCGACCCCAGCCCTGAGGCCCACACTACCTCCACTACACGGGCTCGGGGGCTCCCACCCCGAGGCGGGCTCTGTGCTTGGCTGCTGTTCAGCCGGCGCTGCCCCTCCGCTCCCCCCCCCCCCCCCCCCCCCCCCCCCCCCCCCCCCCCCCCCCCCCCCCCCCGCCGCCCCTTATCCCTGGAGACTCCGTGGCTGCCAGAGCTGGAGGTGGAGCTGAGCCCTCTGCCGACTGGCAGGAGGGAAAGTTCGGCAGAGGCGGGAGCAGCGCAGCTGAGGGACCCCGCCCGGCTGTCAGCAGTGCTGCTGGGGTAAGTAGGGGTCCCTAACCCGGAGTGCAAGGCCGGGCGTGGCCGGCTGCGTGCGGGTGTGTTGCTGCTACTCGCCTGCCCGCTCAGCCCAGCGCCACTGCCCGCTCGGGGTTGGCTCTCTGTCAGCCCTAGAGGACGACCCCACGGCTGGTCTCCTGTGATCATGTTATCCTAGGGCTGAGGACTCCGCGATCACTGCCGTTGTGGATAGTGCTCGGTGCTTGGCGGGCTCGGTGCCTCTACATGGACCGCGAGTGCGGCTCCTAGCGAGGGTCTCCAGTGCCGCACCCCGTGACCAGCGCGGCTTCCCCAGCGCTGAGTCCAGAGCTACTGGCTAACTATACAGAACCCCTTTTCAAAGTAGCTTTGGCACGCGTTGGCGCCCCTAGTTTGCTGTTCCCGGATTATTTTTTGCTGTGAAGGAGAGGGTGGCCCGTGGGCAGCAAGCTTTCCTCCATTGTACCAGTGTAATGGTGACTCTCTGAGTCCCGAGGGTCTCCACTATCTGAGTGACCCAGTACAACCGTGTGCGCCAGGGGTGGAGAGAAGCTCTCCTAGGTCATGGTCTTGGGGTGCAGTGGGGCATTCTGAAAGCTGGAGGAAAAGGAAAGCTGTGCTGGGCGAAGGCAAAGTTGTTTGTTTCCGCCACACTTCCTGCACCTGTACCCCTGTCGTTTGAAGTTTATAGAGGAAAAGACATTAACAGTACTGTATATGGCCAGACACTGAGCCTCGGTGGATGCTAAAAATGAAACGGTAATGAATAATAGGATGACTGTATTTTGCAAACTCCATTTTTATTCTGATTGCAACGTCTTGGCACAATTGTCACTTAAATGTCATTAAAGATAACTAACTACAGTCCCGTTTATAAGGAATTTAAGTGTCTAGTAAATCCTCATAATTCTACGGGGTTTCTTGGATTGTGTTAACACTTTTCATGTAAGAGAGTCCCAATTATTGTGAGCTGTGAGCATTAATAAACTCTGGGGTTTGGCCACATGGAAAAAAGTCTTTCAAACGTGAAAATAACATAAAGACAGAGGGTAACTGGTGCCCTTGGCATAAAAGGTCAGGGGAGCAACCAGAAGAGTGATTACTCCCATAGAGGGATCATGCATTGAGCTTCCAGGAAGTGCCAATTCTGGGAAAATGTGAGACGGACCATATCCAGTGTAGGAACTTAATAAATGTATAACCATTTCTTTCATACTGAGCTACCTATTGTGTGTGTCCAACCTGCAGCCTATGGAGGGCAATAGGGTAAATAATGCTAAGGGCTTTTGTGTGTGTGTGTGTGTGTGTGTGTGTGTGTGTGTGTGATCAAGGTTTTCAGTGTGGTGCAAATGGTCAAGCTTGGATTTTGCAGATTAGGACACACCTGCTGCCACTACAAATCAAGCAATTCCTCCCCCCCCCCCCCAGACATTGTTTCTTTTTGTTGCCCTGGCTGTCCTGGAACTCACTCTGTAGACCAGGCTAGCCTAGACATCACATCTGTCTGCCTCTGCCTGGCAAGTGTTCAGATTACAGGCATGCAACCACCAAATCAGGATCAGGCAATACTACTTTAATTCTCTCCATATTTCTGTCTCAGATCTCATATGTCTAGTTGTAAAGTGTATTAGCGAGCTTCAAAGAAAATACCCAGTTTTTTGATTCATCTGAAGCATTTATCTAATTATTCTTTATCAATAAAAAAGTCAGGAGTCAGATATCAGGTTAAGAGCCTGGGAGGCCAGAGAAGCAGTGGGGCAGCCAGCTGTGTTGGCCTCCTACCTCTTCTGTTCCTCTATCTTTTCCGTTCCTCTATCCAAAACGGCCAGGAGCCTCTCTGAGCCCCACCTTACTGTCTCAGTCCTCCAAGACCTCTATGGTCAGTTTTGGTCAGCTAGTGGCTAGTTCTGCCCTCTGTTTCAAAACAAACTTTATTGTCAGAATGCAATTAAAACACCACACAACGCTCACCCGTTTACGTGACTGTGATATTGTGCTTTGCCATTCCAGAAAGCTATCGTCCAAGAGGCTTGTCCTGCTTTTTAACCACCCTGGGCAAGTCACGTGCTCTTTCCAATACCAGAATTCTAATGTGCAAAATTCTTGCAATACTCCTCACTTGATAGAGATACTTGGAGAATTAAATAACATTCTTTTAGAAGTGCTCAGAACACAGTAGACCCCTTCTTGAATGCTATCTCTTGTCTTTCTCAAGTACTTTTAGATATGTTTTACCTCTTAAAATCTTTAAAATGTGTAATTCTTTCTCTTACGTGATCTTTTCCCATCCGTCCATCCATACATCCATAAGGCTGTTGCTCACTGAAGGTCACTGGATGTTTCCCTACTTGTCCATTTGTACCCAGGAGTTGCCACTGTGGAGGATGCTGGTAGGCACCGCTTCAGTTGTGGTTTTTTTGTTTGTTTGTTTGTTTGTTTTGTTTTGTTTCTTTGGTTGAGAATCTAGTCTTCCTGTTTTCCAGTTCTGTGCTGAATGATATCATACTGAAAAGCAGAAACAGTACGCTGTGCATGGCTGCTCTTTCTCCTGCTTCCCTTGTCCCATCCCACTCCATACTGGCAAGCGGTAAGGACTTAAGGGTTTGTTGGCTTGGAATTCACAGTGTAATAAAGTTATTCTTCAGGTCACATCCGTCCTTTTCTATTTCTGATGAAAGGATCTTGGGATTGTAAATTACAGCCCTACCATATATTAAGGCTAACAGAGGTCCTAAAGAGGCTGAGATCAGGTAGACTTTATTACCTATTGATTTTGGCCTCATGATAAAGTGGTTTTATAAAACCTGTAAAAGCCGAGGTCTGGCAGTGGCTCCACCACTAGGGGCCTCCTCTGCACATGGGAATACCCTGCACATCATTTGTTCCCAGTCTTCTGGCCTTTCAGATAGCAGAGAAACCGAGCTTCCTTCACCAGGAAACATTTGCAAAAACCATTGACAAAGGCCTGAAAATAAATAAAAGCTCTCCTTGATGGATTCAGTGGGGTTTTAAAAATAAGTTTAGAGACTGAAATATTGAACTTTTTACTTTATGTATCATAATATTCAAATATGAAATTTAGAAATTAAATACGTGATTCAGATGTAGAATTTTAATGTTCTTTGTGTATGTGTGTGTGTGTGTTTGTATGTGTGTAGGTTCATCTGTTTATGGTGGATTTTTTTCTTAATCTTTTAATATACTTAAAATAGCCTTTTCTCCTAAATAGATATGTGTGGCACTATGTATATCTGCTAATATACATTGTAATGTACTGTAATAATATGAATTGCTTCTCAAGGGATTTGATATAGCCAGTTGAAGCCCCTCTTCTCTGCATTTTTTTTTCTTTTTGGAGCTGCACTAAATTTCACCCTTAAAATGTTGTTGCATTCTACCACACAGCATTAAAGGGAATCTTTCTTTTGTGGAGAAGTTTTGTCTAAAGTAGGGCCTCATTTGTAGCAGGTTGGCCTCGGATCTTCAGTGACCCTCCACACATACCCAGCTCTGAGTTTTAGAAAGCTCTTTTCCTTGTAAATTCTGATTTTAGTGAAGTCAGTCAGGCTCAAGGATATTTGCTGAACAGCTTGAAGGTGTGTTTATTTCCTAGACAGACCTCATTACTTGGGAGAAGAAACACTGACAGTCTATGCAAACCGGCGGTATCATCCCCGATAGAACCATAGTATTTGCAAATAAATAAGAATAGTGTCAGGTTTCCAGTGTGCTTTAGTTTATTTCGGGAAGCTAAACAACTTTATTCTACACAGAAAAGTCAGCTAAGGTAAAGAAATTCTGCACACTGAGACGCCAAACCTTCCAAAGGGGTTTCTCTTCTTACTTATAGAACCTTTCTGAATTCAGAAACATTTCAGACATCCAGTTCTGATGTTGGTGTGACTCAAAAACAAGGAAATCTGATTGTTTTTGTTTCTCTGTGGAGATCTAGGCTAGCCCATCGCTGAGGAACAAAATAAGAGGACTAACTTTTATCATGAAGGCCACAGATAATTTTTATAACCACCACCCTGCCATTAGGCTGAATTCTTTGGATTGTTTTCAGGGTTCTGGCATATCAAAGCGCGGTGCAGATCCTGTTTGTGCAAAGGTATGCTTTGCTAGAACCGGAAGAGATTTTTAACCTCCAGCTAGGGAAGGGCTTGGCGCCCCCCAGCCTCTCCTTCCTCTTCCCAAGGCGGAAGTTGAGCCTCAGCCAAAATGACAGGCATAGAGCTTGCTGCAGAACTGTGATTTAGTTTGGGCAAAAGCCCTGAGCTGACAAAGATTATGGATGCCTGCCGGAGGTTCAGAAAATGAATGGTTCTTTATACCTGGGAGTCATTTACAGGGACCTGCGTTTGGGAGGTGCCACCTTTGTGGAAATGACGACTGTGAGCTAGGATCTTTTGAGCCTATCACTTCGCACAGGCTGCACAGATGATTTCGGTTGCTTTTCGGCAATGCAAAAACCAAACATTTGGTTATCCTGGGGTCACATCTGCTCCTTTGTTTTATTTTCACACACCAAAGATGTGTGGAGCTGGTGAAGGGGCAAGTAGGAAGCCCAGGAGGTAGGTGTAAGCTGTCTGTCTAACACTGAACTCTGGGACAGCCTTGATTTTTGTATCCCAAGGCATAGTTTAATTTAGCAATCTTCACCAATGGTTTTGGGAATATCATCTATTCTGTTTCTGAAACAAAAGCCCTGTGGACCCTCAAAAGTGACGTTTCTTGTCTCTCCATTGTTAGATACTTAATAAAGCAATAGTCTCCTAGTACAGCTGAAACTGACCTTGAACTTCCTAGCCTCCAGAGTGCTGGGATTTCAGGCAAGCTCCACCACACCTAGCTAAGGGACTTGCTACTAAATTGGCCAACACATTTTAGTGGTGCTGCTGTTAGCCCGTGAGCTGTCCCTGTAGAACTTAGTTCTGTGTGCTTCTTTGGATGTGTGATTGACCATCCTGGGCCAGGTTGGTAAGCCTGGTAAACACATAGTTCATTAGAGTTCAGAGCCACTTACATTCCTGCTGGGAAGGAAGTGCTGTCTGGAGAAGTGTTGAGAAGAATGCAGGTAGTAAGTTGCATATGTGCATATGTATGTATCTCTCCTAGTGTTTTTATAATTATTGCTTGGGTTGCTTTCAGTGTAGATCAAGATCTCTTTAGCCATTGAAGTACTTCGATGAAGACTCTGAATTTAGTAGCTCTGGGATGGCTTGCAAAGTCAGATGCTTCTCTGAAGTTTTCTCACCACATTTCAGTACAAGGTAATTCTTTCCATGCTAAAACTGGCCAAGGCAGTGTTAAGTAGGGGATGTGAGATGCTCATTCCAGTTTGCACAGCCACTTTGGGGTAAGTGCACTGTTATTATTTGCACTTTACAGATGAGAGAACTGAGGCTGTATAAGGTTGGAAGGTAGAGCTAGGGCTTAATCTACATCTGCCTGGTTCAAGCCCAGAACCTCTGTTGTTCCCAGTCCCTCTTCCCTGTGTGTGTGCGTGTACGTGTGTGTGCGTGTGTGTGTGCAAATGCATGCATGTACCTGTGTGTAGGCTAGATCAAGCTAAGGTGTTATTTCTTAGGAACCATCCACCACTGGCTAGGCTGGGCATTCAGTTGTCTCTGTCTCCCAGTCACTAGGGTTACAAGTGCACACTGCACACCGCTACAGCCTACATGCTCTGTGCATGCTGGGGAACCGCAGAAGATCCTCATGCTCTTTTATTGACTAAGTAGGCAAGCTTTTTATTGACTAAACTATTCTTCCAGCTTCTACTGCTTTATTTATTTATTTTTCCCAGCATATAAACTCCTTGAATTGGCAATTGGGAAAATGTTTTAGGGTTCCGAGGCCTGAGAAAACTCTAGGACATTGATTTTCATTAGGTTATTGCACTGATATCTATTTCTGGGCAGGATAGAGCAAGATAACAAATGCAGTTTTATCAGAGAGTCTACTTCAGCACATTTTATTTATGCTTTACATCCAGAATTTTTTTCCTGGTAGCTCAACATATATTGTGATGAACTTTTCTCTCCCTGTCCCCCCCCACCTCTCTCTCTCGCTCGCTCTACTTTTTATTTCTCTTTCTCTCTCTCCCTCCTTCTTTCTCTTTTTCTCCCTCCTTACTTCTTCTCTTTTTCTTTCTTTCTTTCTTTCTTTCTTTCTTTCTTTCTTTCTTTCTTTCTTTCTTTCTTTTTTTCTTTTGTTTTTTTTGTGACTGGGTTTTGTTTTCTCTGTGTAACTCTGGCTTTTCTGGAACCTGTTCTGTAGACCAGACTGGCCTCAAACTCTGAGGTCCAATTGCCTCTGCCTCCCCAGTGCACCACCTCCACTCAGCAGATGGTTAACTTCTTGTCAAGGTGCTTTGCAGGCAAGTTGTAAGAAGAACATATGGATAAAATTAAGCATGCGGGTTGCAGGATGTAAAGGTGTGAATGCTGAAGCCAGCCATTCACTGGGGAAAGTGCTCATACTCACGTTATGCAAAGGCTTCCCAATAGATAAGTCAAGGACTAAAAAGCAGGGGCAGCAATGCAGGAAGAGGGCATGTTTTATGCCTTGGAGCTTAGCAGTGCTCGGTTTGTCAGCCCAGCTTTATCCCCTCTTGACTGGGGTGTCTGGACCTCCCATCCCTTAGTTTCCTTGTCTGGTTTTTGCATGCATAATGGGGACAATGCATTTTGGACTTGCTGCAAGAATTAACTGAAATCTCAGATAAAATGCCATGCCTCCACAAGTAGCTGGTACCAACAACAGTACCTCCCTACTTTTCCTCCTTAACTAACTCCTCTCATGGTCTCCTATCCTTTTTTCCCCACCTTGTCCTGACTGGTCAGGGAAGCATAAAAATAATGATATCTGAAGTCCAAAATCGAATGTGATCAACTCTTGACAAATATGTTCCTTTCTGGTTCTCTTTCATGAATCTGGGACAGACTTGGCAATAGCGTTAGATGATCTGTGAACTGGCATTGCCCTAGGGTCCCTAGCCCATAGTGTCACTTTCTGAGCTGACCAGAAGAGGTTCTAGCAGCCAATGATAGCTTAGTGCCTAGTGCAGATGCCCATGATGTAGAGTAAGGTTGGAACTTGAGGGTAAAGGAGAGGGTATTTAGGGAAATTGGAACAAGTTAGAAATGAGGTTCAAGGCAGGCTAAGCAGAAAATGGTCAGGATTTAGGGGTGAGCAAGACTGACTCTTAGCATCTCGTCCCTGAAATTCCTGGGGTTGACTTGATGATTCGGGCTTACAGAGCTTACACACAGACTCTGTCCAGAAGCTCACTAGAGAATGGGAGCCCTTCTGCACCCAGCCTGGTGTATTGACGAATAGACATGTCTAGCTCCCCAGGCTCTGACTACAGGGCTTTTCCATAGTGGTGCATCTTCTGCCAGCAAGGAGCTAAATCAAAATTGTTAGCTCTCTGCCAATTCCCACTTGAGATTTCAAGGGTTAGTTGATATCACAGAAGAAATGAGCCTCCTGGTTTTTTTTTCTTCCTTTTTTCCATCTGGGGATTTGGTTAGAGACACCCATGTCTGTTTCACTGTGTGGCAGGGAGCCAGAACCACAGGG